TTGGAAAGAAGAAGCCTGAAAAAAATCAGGGCTTCAACGGGATTCGAACCCGTGACCTCCGCGATACCGGTGCGATGCTCTACCAACTGAGCTATATATGTCTTTTAGGTTTTGATTGTTTTCAAGTCACAACCATAATAGTGATATACATGGCCCGATTTTTTGAAATTTCGATATACCTATATAAAAAAAATATTTAATCGTACCTTAACTGGTACGCTTTCATGTTATCAGGCTCTTTTGGTCTTGCCATGGTTACCATGGTTACTTCGGCTCGATGGCGACTCGCGAAAATACGAACCACGGCTTAACCAAACTCACCTGATATGGCGCCTGACTGCACCGAAAAGGTTCGATTAGGTGTAATTGTATTATAACAAATGCCCTGTTGGTCGATATCCTTTCAATGAATAACTAACTGACACATCGGGAGCCGGGAAAGTTTCATTACTTACCTTTCCNATGCGTAATTAATATCCCTCTTCTTAGCACATCAACACACGTGTATCGTTCTTTTTAAAGAAATCTAGACCACTGAATTAAAGTTTTTCTATCAATAAAAAATATGTCTTTTAGGTTTTGATTGTTTTCAAGTCACAGCCATAATAGTGATATATATGGCCCGATTTTTTGAAATTTCGATATACCTATATAAAAAAAATATTTAATCGTACCTTAACTGGCACGCTTTCATGTTATCAGGCCCGTTTGGTCTTGCCATGGTTACCATGGTTACTTCGGCTCGATGGCGACTCGCGAAAATACGGACCACGGCTTAACCAAACTCACCTGATATGGCGCCTGACTGTACCGAAAAGGTTCGATTAGGTGTAATTGTATTATAACAAATGCCCTGTTGGTCGATATCCTTTCAATGAATAACTAACTGACACATCGAGAGCCGGGAAAGTTTCATTACTTACCTTTCCTTCAACAACGTGTAAATCTTTTTGCCCATCTGTGAGCTTTTCGTCCTGCACCTGGTGTCATCACCAGGATGTACAATGAACACAAAGTGATGTGTATCAACATACGCATTTATGAAAATGCCGATGTACCTATGACAAAATGATAAACGGAAGGACTTATTTGTTATGATTGAAAATGAACTAAAGAGAATTGCCGTATTTTCCTAGGCTGTCACTGAAAATACGTCCAACATTAAAGTCTTCTAGGTAAACACGAGACGTTATACCTTGTTGAGTTGACAAATTGAGCTCTTGAGACAAAGACCGAATGAAAATTCACCTTTATGGATTCGTCGAATTTGCCGAATTTGGTCATTTCACGTTGTTGTTTGCAGAAGGAAGATATAAGAGTTACACAACTTTATTGTCACAGGTGCATGATGGCAAAATAAATATTGGGAAAAAGAAACAGTTTGAAAAAATATTCACAGTAAAACTATTTAAAATGTCTAATAATGCTAGAAAATTTAATTAACAAATAAAGAGGCCTCGTCTATGCTCTGTTCTGTTGTAAAGCACGCAGGAAGCGGTAGAATACGAAAGAAGTGTTTAGAGAAACACGCGATGTACTCGAGTGTTCCCTACTTCTTGAGTGCTCTACCGCTTCCTAAGCTATTATTGTCTATATTTGGCAATTATAAATTGTATCCAGTCATAATTGGTTTTGGTCATTTCTGATTGGTTGACAAAGTGGCAAGTTGGCTGTCAGCGGTTTCTAAATCAAAGAAACGTTTTGGAAGCCAATTACAGAGTTCGAAGCGGCAATTTAACACAAAACAAAAAGTGGCACATGTTTGCTAATAAATTGCTGGGCATGAAAATATAAATCGAAAATGTAAATGAAAATTATCAGTGCCAGCTCCACGATGAAGTTATATGTCCTCTGTTTCTAGATAATGAACTTGAAATTTAGGACTCTCGGCTTGTGTGGAGGGAGGAAACCCACATAGAGAAAAACCCTCGCTTCAAGGACAAGAATCAACAACAAACTCAACCCACCTATGACGTCAAATCCAAGATTCATGGGAGTTTTTTACTTAGGGTCCACTTCCTGAAACATGTATTTTATTTTATCAACTCCTGAATAAATCTTTTATGTATATATCTTCAAACCCAGGCCAAATTTAATTTGTGAGAGGTGAGTGCTCTCGCCACTGCGCTCCAGGAAACCGCGAAATACTTACGAAATCAAATTTTTTGTTGCCCCGTCAAATTCTTTCTTGTTTCTGAAATTTTCCTTCCGTGGAAGCTTCACTGCATCCAACATAATTATGTCATTACCGTTGGAAACGACGGAAGTGACATCATTTTGTTGGACGCAGGAAACCAACTCAACCCACTTTATGACGTCAAATCCCTAGATTCAAACCCAGGCCACATTTGTGAGAGGGGAGTGCTCTCTCCACTGCGCTATCGCTCCCTTGCTCCCCAGGAAACAGCGAAATACTTACGAAATCAGATTTCGTGCTTCGTTGTCAAAATCTTTCTTGTTATCGAAATTCTCCTTCCGTGGAAGCTTTCCTGCGTCT